AGAGACCCTCTGCGTGTGATCCAGGTCAAACACCTTCAGCATCTCCTCAGCAAACATGTCGAAAGGTTGCACATGCGGGGTTTGACCTGTTCGAAACTCTGCTGTCCCCAGAGTCGGCTCGGCCCTTCCGGTGAGTGTGGCATAATAATACCCGACTTTAAGCCCCCTCCGGTCGAAGGTCCTTGGCTGCAAGGAGAACGAAGTCGCAGCTAGTCAGGAATGGGCCCGGACTGGGTATAATCGCCGTTGAACCGCTCGGGGTTTCCAATCTTGGTTCCGACAGCGGCTGCAATACCGGGGCCAGGTACTCGGAGGCAGTGCTGGATGGGCAACTGCCTGGAAACGGGCCTGTGTGGCGGAGTGGGCGGGGTGGGGGGGGGGGGGGGTGGGGGCGGGGTGTTGTGCTGTTGCGGGTTGGGGGGTCCGGTTTGGTGAGGCGTTGCCTGCTATGGCGAGTTGTTGTTGCTGCTGTGGACACTGCGCTGTGCTGCTGGCACTGGTCCTGATGCTGTTGGGTGGCCGACCTGAAGCAGAGAGGTGATGTCGCCGCTCTGCGGCCTAGCTCTCTGCAAGATGGTGGCTTCCCAGGCTAGCATTGCGGGGTTGGGGTCTTGCTCGGGTTCGCTCGGTTTTCCATTCGGGGAAGTGTGCGCTGAGTCTCATGATGGTCAGTCGTACTGTCACGGTCAGACAGACGACAGAGGACCACAATTGTCGGTCACAACCAGAAATGTTTATTAAACTTAAGGGAAAGGGAAGTAGGAGTGAGTGAAGGACTCCAGGGTTACTGGGAATAACATAGGATTCCGTCCAATGTCTGGTTCTGTGCCCCATCCCCCCAGTGGCAGCGATGCGTCCGAATGACGCCGGTGTTGTGGTGCCATAAGTCCTGGTGGGGAGGAAACGACATACACCACGGCGGATGATAAACAAGCAGAAGTACAGTTTCCAAGGAAATCCAAATACATTGGTAGCAAGGCAGAAGGCTGGTCAGAGTTACCGGATTCGAAAGTAGTCGGAGTCGTAAAATGGGCAGAAAAAGCAGGCTTTGTTTTTCTGGGCTAAGAGTATCCAAGAATCAGGCATGTCGGGGTCACAAAACACGGGTGAGCCAGAAGCCGAGCAAACAGGTTCCGGGTGTGGCTTTGCATACGATCTGACCAAGGAGAGCTGAAAGACAGTTTAAATACTGGGAGAGGTTAGTGGTACTGCGCCGCAGCTGGCAGAGGTATTAGAGCCGAGCAGGAGCAGGGACAGTGGAGCTAGATTTAGGCTGAGTAAAGAGAGAGTGGGAGCAGAGTGGGAAGATAGTGGAAACAATTAAGGTTGGTAACCCCGGTGAGTGAAGAGGGCTCATGACACTTATGGCCTTATACACTCATTGAGTGCAAGTCTAGTGCCAGCTTCGGTTTGGTGTGGTTAAATAGACATCTACGAACCCAATATAGAACGAAACTCTCTTGGTAAATAGTGTGGTCTACACTTATCATGATATACTCTAACCTCCGCGCGCAAAACCTTGAGACTTTCATTAATATTAAGATTTTGTGCCCACTGTTGTTTTACAATATACACGACCGCCATCCCTTGTCTTACCGGAGTCAGCCTTCTTCCTGCCGATGTAAGCGTAATCACCCCCATCCTGTATGTTAACCCATGTCACCTCGTTCAGAACACGCTCCCTCGTGAAAACATAAGATAATTACAGTTTTTAATGTCCCGCTGGTAGATCTCCGTGATTCCGTAGGTCGCATATTTTTGTTTTCCCAATGAGTGAACATGGCTACTAGGACCTGATGGTAGGGGCAGACTACTCAGCTCGCCGTCAGAACCTTACAAGGCAACCCGACCTACGTCCCACATATCTCTGTTTCTTTCTCATAACGCGCAATGGAAGGGGGATTTGGCCTTTGTCGGGTGTCTGTAGAAAATCTTTTGTCTACTACGAGGTGCGTAACTCACTGTCCTGATATTCAGAGTCCTTTTTTGGTCATAAGAGACGTGGCAGAACACATATGTTACAGAATAAAGTATCAATAACGCGAAAAAACACACATAATAGAACTATTGTTTAAGGGGCCGGAAAGCGGCAGCAAATCTCTCCCGCCATGAATCATCCGATATGGTTAAAGAGAACATGTTCTGGAGTTGGCCAGCGATGAGTCCAGATCTGAATCTCATCGCTAACCATTGGTAGATCTAAATAGTTAGGTGGAAGGCACACCTCAACGTTAAAGAATTGGAGCAGTTTGATTGAAGAGTGCCCCAATTGGCCATAGAAAGGTTCAGCACAGCTCATTGATGGCCTACAAGGAAAACAGTTTGTTTTTGTCTGCATATCTTGGCCAAAGCGTGCAACAACCAGTCTCTACTAGCTCCGGGTAGCCAATAATCTTTTGTACCAAGCCTCTTTGTTTTTATTTTCTAAATTAAAATTTGTCAACATAAATGCCTACACATAGGATTACATTTTTTATTTGTCCAGAATAATCATGTACCAGCTAAATCGATGAAATATATTTTCAATACAAAAAATAGGCGTTTTTAAACAGCTGTTTGAAGCTGGTGACCAAAACCCTTTTGCAACGATGGACCCGACCGGTTTTTGGTCCACCAGCTTCAGAACAGCTTGTAAAACCCTATATTTTTCTGTTATTGGAAATATATATTCACAGCGATTTAGATAGGTAACATGACTCCCTACACTAATTGTTTTCTCACATAAACTGAAATTGAGCAAACGGTGTGAATTTTAGCAGCCACGAATGACAGAGCGATGTCCACTAGATAAAAACACGCCACAAAAGTAGGAACAGGCTTTCCAGTTTTGTCACAGATGCAACTAGGGCGGAAAAATCGATAGCAAATATCCACAGCCATCACAACCCGGCAGGTAAATAATACTGTGGAAAATGTCACGTCTCCTCCCTGTCTCCCTCCGTCGCTCTATTCGCTGGTTCTACTGAGTCCACCGGTCTGAGCGCAACCAACCACCATCGGCAAACAAGTAATGGAAAACCCACCGCACCCTAATCACCGTCCAGCTCACCTCTGCACCTCATCACATCTCATCACCACCACTATATACAGTTTAGGTCGGAGTTTACATACACTTTAGTTTGGAGTCCATGAAAACTTCGCTTTTCAACCACTCCACAAATTTCTGTTAACAAAACTATAGTTTTGGCCAGTCTGTTAGACATCTACTTGTGCATGACACTCATTAATTTTTCCAACAATGTTTACAACAGATTAATTTCACTTATAATTCACTTTATCACAATCCAGTGGGTCAGAAGTTTACATACAACTAATGACTGTGCCTTTCAAACAGCTTGGAAATTCCAAAAAAGGATGTCATGGCTTTAGAAGCTTCTGATGGCTAATTGACATCATTTGCATCAATGGAGGTGTACCTGTTGATGTATTTCAAGGCCTACCTTCAAACTCAGTGCCTCTTTGCTTGACATCATGGAAAATGAAAAGAAATCAGCCAAGACCTCAGAAAAAAATGTAGACCTCCACAAGTCTGGTTATCCTTGGGAGCAATTTCCAAACGCCTGAAGGTACCATGTTCATCTGTAAAAACGATAGTACGCAAGTATAAACACCATGGGACCACGCAGCTGTCATACCGCTCAGGAAGGGACGCGTTCTTTCTCTAGAGATGAACGTACTTTGGTGCGAAAAGTGCAAATCAATCCCAGAACAACAGCAAGGACCTTGTAAAGATGCGGAGGAAACACGTACAAAAAATCTTAACCCACAGTAAAAACCCCATACGACATAACCTAAAAAGGGCCCCGCTAGCAAGGAAAGAAGCCATGTTCCAAAATGCCATAAAAAAGCCAGATACATTTTGCAACTGAAATGGGGACAAAGATCGTACTTTTGGAGAAATTCCTCTGGACTGATGATCGAAATAAAAACTTTTTGGCCAAAATGACCACGTTATGTTGGGGGAAAAAGGGGGATGCTTGCAATCCGAAGAACACCATCCAACCGTAGCAGGGGGGGGGCAGCATCATGCTGTTGGGTTTGCTTGCTACAGCGGGGACTGGTGCACTTCACAAATAGATAGAAAATGGGGGGCCCAAACGAAAAGGCGTGTGCGAGCAAGGAGGCCTCAAACCTGACTAAAGGTTACCCCAGCTCTGTCAGAGGAATGGGCCAAATTCAGCCAACATTGTGGGAAGTTTTGGGGGAAGGCTACTGACAGTTGACCCAAGTTAAACAATTTAAAGGCAATGCTACCAATACTAATTGAGTGTATGTAAACTTCTACCCACTGGAAGTGATGAAATAAAAAAGTGAAATAAAAATTATCTCATATACTATATTCTGACATTCATTCTAAAATAAAGTGGTATCCTAACTGACCTAAGACAGGAATTTCACTGGATTAAAGGGAGGATGTGAAAAACTGAGTTTAAGTATTGGCTATGGTGTATGTAAACTTCCTCAACTGTAGCCCTGGACTGTAGTTCATTTTGTTGTATTGTTAGCGTCATGTCGTTACTCTCTCTTTGTTATCTCTTTCTCATTATTAAGTAAACCTTTACCTTATTAATTCCTGCGTCTGCGTCCTGCCTTTTCGTATACTCAGTACTCGTCACAGAAACACTATCATTCCACTATTAGCGCCAGATATATTATCAACATTTTCTGAAATTACGATGCAAAAATTATTTTAAAAATCCTATGTGTAGCACCTTAAGTTTCCCGAAAATAAATTGGTTTTGCAATGTTGAAAATATAATAAGGTGTGGAGACCAAAAGTTTTTTTTTTCAAATTTCTCCATATTTTAAAAGAAATAGGGATTTTTTAAAGAAAGGTGCAAGGATCCCAATATATTTGGATGCAACTGTACAATTACCTCTGCACCAGCTAAATTACATTTTGCCTATATGATTTTAGTTTAATCAGAAACAGTATTACCCAGAAATCTACATTGAGCACATACCCCATTCTCCTCCACCATACACCTTTCCCACTCACCTTGTCCATCCACCATCATGCGCAGGGTGCCCAGCAGTTTGAACTGGCACTGGGGCAATGTCAGAGCGCAGCAAGGTCTGATTCTCTCTGTCACCCCGTCCTCAGCATCCTCACCTTATTTGTGGCTGAAACACCAGGGGAAAGAGGGGTCAGAGAGGTCAGAGCTGAGAGTCCTGAGAACAGCTTATAAGAGAATCCCATTAGTGATTCATTTCACAGTGTCAGTTTGAATTCAGTGGTGGGGTCAGTGGGGGTCGGTGGGGTTAGTGTGTGTGTGTGTGTGTGGTGTGTGGTGTGTGTGTGTGGTTATCCATTCTACTATGTACCAGGGATGGCCAGGTTCTGAGAGCGCTCAGTCCGGCATGCTGGACGGGACACGTCGCCTTCGTCCACATGCTGCTCCAGCAGGGTCAGGATATGAGGAACCACCCCCAGCTCCAACATCTTCACACAGTTACTGTCTGAGAAGGTTGAGAGAGAGAGCGGGTAGAGAGGAGACAGTAATTGATGAGAAGAGACAGAGAAAAAGATACAGAGAGAGAAAGAGGTGATAAGGTAATCAAATATGAAGATAGACAGGGGCTTAGAACATCAGAGACTTGGGAGATTCGGCAAATCAAGCAGGCAATGAAATAAGGGGAAAAAAAAAAAAGTTTTTTAGAAAGAAATTTGTCACCCCAAAAAGGAAGCCTTTTTTTTAAAATAGGAACGTTTTTTTGCAGACAAATGAGAAAAAAAAAAAAAAGAAAAAAATTTTTTTTTTAAAATTTGAAAGGGGGGGAAAAAAAAAACCCCCAAAAAAAAGGGGCTCTCAGCCTTAACTTCTTTTTTAAGGGCCTCTGTCCTCCACTTTCCTGTTTTAAATGGCCCCTTTTTGAACTTTTTTAAGTAAAAAAACCCCGTCCAAACCTCAAACAGTCACCCCCAAAACTCCACCCCCCCCCAAACAGTGTAAAAGGGAAAAAAAAATTTTAACCCCCCCAGGGGGAGACTGAATCTGCATAGGTAAAACAGTTGGTTTGAAGAAATCAACTGTGGAGCAATTATTGGAAAGGAAAAACAAAAAGACCACTGATAACTCCCTCGATCTGGGGTCCACAGTTCACAAAAAGGGGGGTAAAAAATCCCAGAACCACACGGGGGGACCTAAGAAAAGAGGGGAACGGGACCAAAATAAAAAGCCAAACCGGAAACACTACGCCGCCAGGGCTCAAATCCCCTGCAAGAGTGTCCCCTGCTAAGCCAACTTCCCGGGCCCTTGAAAATTTTTCTAGAGTGTTTTGGGTGATCCAGAAAGGATTGGGAGAATGTATATGGTCGATGAAACCAAAAGAAAAGTTTTTGGGAAAAACTCAAAACGCGGTTTGGAGGCAAAGAAGTGAGTTGCATCCAAAAAAACACCATACCTACTTTTAAGCATGGGGGTGGAAAAAAAATGCTTTGGGGTGCTTTTTTCAAAGGGAGAGGAGACTGATCCGGTTTAAAAGGGAAAAAATGAAAGGGGCATGTATGTGAGATTTTTAGTGAAAAAACCCCCTTCATCAGCAAAAGGGGTTTAAAATAAACGTGGCTGGGTCTTTCAGCATGACAATGATCCCAAAAAACCCGCCCGGGGAAAGAAGGGGTGGTTCGAAGAAGCATTTTAAGGTCCCGGAGTGGCCCAGCCCGTCTCCAGATCTCAACCCCCCTAGAAAATCTTTGAGGGAGTTGAAGTCCGTGTTTCCCGTGACAGCCCCCCAAAAATCATGCTTAGAGGGATTGATGGAGGAATGGGCCAAAATCCAGAACGTGTGTGAAAAACCTTTTAAAAACTTACGAAAACGTTTGACCTGTGTCTGCAACAAAGGGTATATAACAAAATTTGAGAATCTTTGTTATTGACCAAAATTTATTTTCCACCATTTTGCAAAAAAATTTCATTAAAAATCCTAAAATGTGATTTTCTGGAGATTTTTTTTCTTTTTGTCTTCAATTGATGTGTCCTATGAAAAAAATTTACAGCCCTCTCATTTTTTAAAAGGGGAGAACCCCCCAATTGGTGGACTAAATACTTTTTCCCCACTGTAAGTAAACCCTAAAGGGCATTTCCCAAATCTTACCGTCTGGCAAAATTGGCATGCCAGGGCTCCAACAGCTGCAGCTAGTTTTAGAGGACGCAGCCAGGAGAGCAGCCTGGAACACCCGTGCCTGGAAAAACTCTGCCATGGACACCCTAATGAACCACAAAACACAAGGACAAGCAATGACTAGTCAACAACCAATCATAATGTTTTTGTGATCAATATTTCATTTATCAAAAAAATAGAAAACAGAGAGGACATACACTACCAGTCAAAATTTGGACACACCTACTCATTCAAGGGTTTTCTTTATTTTTTCTATTTTTTACATTGTAGAATATAGTGAAGACATCAAAACAATACATATGGAAAATGTAGTAAACCATAAAGTGTTGGGTCATTGTCTGTTGAAAAAACAAATGACAGTCCCACTAAGCCCAAACCAGATGGGATGGCGATCGTGTAGAATGCTGTGGGGCCATCCTGGGTAAGTGTGCCTTGAATTTTAAATAAATCACAGACAGTGTCACAAACAAAGCACCCCCACACCATAAAACCTCCTCCTCCATGCTTTAAAGGGGGGAAATACACATGCAGAGATCATCCGTTCACCCACACTGCGTCTCACAAAGACAGTGGTTGGAATCAAAAATCTCAAATTTGGACTCCAGACCAAAGGACGAATTTTCCAGCGGTCAATGTCCATTGCTCGTGTTTCTTGACCCAAGCAGGTCACTTCTTCTTTTGGTGTCCTTTAGTATTGGTTTCTTTGCAGCAATTCGACCATGAAGGCCGATTCACACAGTCCTCTATGAACAGTTGATGTTGAGATGTGTCTGTTACTTGAACTCGTAAGCATTATTTGGGCTGCAATTTCTGAGGCTTGGTAACTCTAATGAATTTATCCTCTGCAGCCAGAGGTAATTTTGGGTCTTCCATTCCTGTGGTGGTCCTCATGAGAGCCATTCATCATAGCGTTTGAGGGTTTTTTGCAACTGCCACTTGAAGAAACTTTCAAAGTTCTTAAAAGGTTCCATATTGACGGGCCCCTCATGTCTTAAAGAATGATGGAACTGTCGTTTCTCTTTGCTTTTTTGAGCTTTTCTTGCCATAATATGGACTTGGTCTTTTTACCAAATAGGGCTATATTCGTATACCCCTCCTACCTTGTCACAAAAAACAACTGATGGCTCAAAGGGCATTAAGAAGGAAAGAAATTCCACAAATTAACTTTAAGTAGGCACACCTGTAAATTGAAATGCATTCCAGGTGACTACCAAAGCGGGTTGAGAGAATGCCAAGAGCGTGCAAAGCTGTAATCAAGGCAAGGGGGGGCTATTTGAAAAATCTCAAATATAAAATATATTTTGATTTGTTGAACACTTTTTTCGTAACACATTATTCCATATGTGGTGTTTCGTAGTTTTGATGTCTTCACTATTATCCTACAAGTAAAAAAACATTTAAAATAAAGAAAAACCCTTGAATGAGTAGGTGTGTCCAAACTTTTGACTGGTAGTGTATATATAAGTGATTCACAGTCAGAGTATCTTTGCTCGATTACATTCGGGAAACAAACATCAATCAAATTTAGTGATGTGACCTGATGGGCTCCCGAGTCGCGCAGCGGTCTAAGGCACTGCATCTCAGTGTTGAGGCGTCACTACAGACCCCCTGGTTCGATTCCCGGCTGTGTACAACCGGCTGTGATTGGGAGTCTCATAGGGTGGCGCCCCATGGCCCCGCGTCGTTTGGACGGTGTAGGCCGTCATTGTAAATAAGAATTTGTTCTTAACTGACTTGCCTAGTTAAATAAAGGTTTTTAAAAAAATAGACAGTGAAATGGTGTGTGAGTGAGGCATGGACGCAGGGGTTTAAGGGGAGGACAGTAAAGGGATTATGGTGCCTCCAGGTCAGTTGAGTTCCTTACCTCCCAGCAGGAGAGACACGATGAGGTTGGAGGCAATCTTGATGCTGCAGAGATCATGGGGGTCAGAGCCACCTTGTAGCCCTCGAATCATCTCAGACAGAGCCTCAGGCACCCCCGACTCCACAAACTGCAGCTTTAGCACATCTGACAACAGCAGGAGGGGTGTGTTAGTCTGAGCACACAATTCATTCAACCCTTCATGTGAAAAGCATAAACCCCATTCAGTTTATTTCATCTCACCTGTCTCAGTATAAATTATCATCATTGCCCAGACTCACCACTCTTCTCCATGATCCCAGCACCTCCAGTATGATGTGTCTTTCTCCGGCGTCAGGAGCCCGTTTCAGCTGGGCCGTCAGCACCTCCGCCACACCCACCTCTATCACGCCTCTCGCGCCGTGTCTGCATGGGTCAAAGGCCAAACATTTTATCTACACCTTTATCTAAACCCGGTCTTTCAGTTAGGAAACAATTATCATTCACAAATAAGATGTGAGAAACACAATAACAACTGGTTCAAGTCAGTATACAGTGTGCAGTCTCCAAGTAAACAAATGAGACAAGCACGCCATTTTGGTTCAGAAAAGTAACTGAAAACAAACAGGCTTTCCTCGTCTCTGTGACCCTCTAAAGTTCCTCTGGTGTTCCTCACCCATGTCGGCCAGATTACAGAGAGCCAGCAGACACACGTTGACCAGTGGGTCGTTCTCTGGGTACTCCCTCATGATGGCCACCAGCCTGGGGATCACCCCACTCTGCACCAGCTGATCCTGCTGGGCCGCTGAGAGAGGGAAGAGGAGAGAGAATAGAGGAAGGGAAAGAAGGAGGGAAAGTGTAATGGATTGAGACTGAGATAAATAGACGGAGGTGGAGGCACACACACCCACGAAATCCACCAGGACAAGCATTGCGTTACAGATTACAGATTAATTTAATAGGGTAAGATTCATCCTGTCACTGCAGGTAAAGCCTGATTCCCCCTGGGAAGGCCCCGGCCTGCTGGAGTCAGTCTCACTCACTGTTGTCGAAGCAGATGCGTCCGATGGCTCTTCCAGTGTGGAGCAAAAGCTCCTCATCTGCCACTATTCAGCAGGGGCACCAGAACCGTCACCAGCCCGCTCAATGCACGTGTTCCTCACCGCCGCTTAAAACAGGGACAGAATTTCATAAATCTCTGATTCTACTCACAGTGAGCCTATGTCATTGTTGTGTTTGTAAATGGAGGACTGGATCTTGACAGATGTAAATGAAAAGCACTCTAGCCGCTGTCAATGAGGCTGGTCTCAGACTAGACGTAACGTAAATCAAAATCCGTGACACTCAGATGAGTCTGAAATGTTACGTTTGGTATGGTTACATAAAACAGAAGGTTACTTAAGGCAAAAACTAAGTAGGGTTGGGTGTAAACACAAACATCTAGCAACCCAAAGGTTGGTAGTCCCGTGTAGCTCTAGTTGGTAGAGCATGCGTTGCAACGCCAGGGTTGTGGGTTCGATTCCCACGGTGGGGCCAGTATGAAAATGTATGCACTCTAACTGTAAGTCGCTTGGATAAGAGTGTCTGCTAAATGGACTAAAATGTAAATGTAAAATGTTGCGTGTTCTAATCTCATCACGGACAACTTTAGCATTTTAGCTAATTAGCAAGTTTGCAACACTTACTTAATACTTTTTAGCTACTTAGCATGTTAGCTAAGCCTAACCGTTAAACCAGTTTGACCTAACTCCTAATCCTAAACCTTAACCCCTAACCTAATCCCTAGTCAAAGCTAACATTAGCAACCTAGCTAACGTTAGTGTTAGCCACCTAGCTAATGTTAGCCACAACAAATTGGAATTTGTAACATATCATACGTATTTCAAATTAGTAACATATTGTACGAATTGCAATTCTTATCAGTCATACGAATTGTAATTCGTAACATATCATACAAAATGGATGATAGACATCCACAAATTAATGCATGCCATACCAAACGTAACATACAGTATCATACTAATTCGTTTTTCTGGATTTTCGTTTACTATTTTACGTCTACCCTTGAGTCCAGGTTGCAGATTGGTTTCATGCCCCATACCCCTGTCGCTTTGTCTACAGTAGTAGGCTGGCATCTAATCTCACCTTCCCTGGCCATCTCTGCCACCACCAGTGCCACCTGGTTGGTGAGGAGACTCTTCTTCTTGAGGGACTGGGCCAGGATGGGAACGATACCACTGGAGGCAATCTCCACTGCGGCACCCTTCTCTGAGGACATATAATACACACACTTATATGGTAATACCCCTGGGCATGGATATAGAATAGAATGGAAATAACTGAGGACGGAAAATGACCATTGGCTTCATAGTAACATAAATATCTTTATTGACCTATAGACAAAACCTGCTAATTGTTAACCAGAAATGAGTTCTGACACAAAACTCTTGCTAATGCAAGTGTCCCAGCAGTAGATGTAATTCCATTTCCTGTCAATCTTCTCTGTGATGAGATTGATCAGGATCACTAGGTGCAGAGGTTGTCTTTGGCCTTCCTCTCTCTACTCCTGTCTCCGATTAACGTGACTCTAACCCTCTGTAATGTCAGGAGAGACCAGAGAGAGAAACTAAAATAGAATCCTCCTCTGTGTTGAACTTGGGAGGCAGATTCATTGTCATTAAAGCAGCAATGTGCAATAGACACCGAGGAAGACCTGATATTAGCATTTCCCCTTTCAAAGAATGTCACAACAGCCAAGGAGGCAGGTCAGGTTGTCAGGCTACACTGCGCTGCTTTTGGTAACGTCCCCTTGCCTGTTTTTGAGGGGAACCAAATTTAGCTGTCCGTGCACAGTGCAACCCCAGATAAACTGGATATTTGCCAGAGCAGAGCGAGGGAGAGCTGGAGAATCACTTGAACGTCACTATCTCACTTCCTTCCGTTCATTCGTTCTCTCCGACCCCCCCCGAACTAATCACGGACAACTTTAGCGTTTTAGCTAATTAGCAACTTTGCAGCTACTTACTACTTTTTAGCTACTTTGCAAACTACTTAGCATGTTAACTAACCTTCCTCTAATCCTAACCTTAACCCTTTAATCTAACCGTAACACTAACCTTAACCCTAACCCCTAGCTAACTTTGCCACCTAGCTAAGGTTAGTGTTAGTCACCTAGCCACCTAGCTAACGTTAGCCACAAAAAATCGGAATTTGTAACATTTCATACATTTAGCAAATTCTTAACATAGTGTACAAATTTCAATTTGTAAATATTGTACGAATTGAAATTCGTAACATATCATACGAATTGTAATTTGTAACATATCATATGAAATGGATGATGGACATCCACAAATTAATACATACCATACGAAACGTAACATACGAAACGTAACATATCATACTAAATGGAGTGTCCTGGATTTATGTTTACTATGTTAAGTCTACCCCTGATCCAGGTTGGATACAGAGGAGAAACAGCAGAGGTGTTCTGAACAATCCTGCAACACTCTCACATTGAAGCAGTCTTTTTATAGCTGAAGATTTGGGCCAAGACTACGCAGGCATCCAAAATCAAAAAGGGGGGAAGGATAGATTCCTAAACAACCTGATAAAATGTTGAGAGAATTTAAGCTTTGCCACTATAGTTTCTAAAAGCTCTGGCCTTGCTTGCCATGGCCAAGCAATGCCATAAAAGCTGACTGATGGGAACAGGCAGGAGTGAGATTGATGAATCAGAGGTCAGTGTCTACTGGAGATAGTGTGTAGACTCACTCTTCTCCAGTAGCACAGCCAGCACGGTGTCCAGATGAGGCTTCAGCTCCTGTTCTACCCAACTCGGTGCTCACACTGAGGCATTCAGCGCCTCAGTCAGAGAGTCTGCAACACACACACACATAAATGTATATACACGCACGCACACACACCACACACACACACACACACATAAATGTATACGCCACACACACACACACACACACACACACACACACACCACCACACACACACACACACACACCACACACCAACACAGGAAGGGAGACACATCATATATTAGTTCATATCTTCCTGCAGAACAACTACATTGCTCTCATATCATATACAACAAAATATTCCTGTAGAAATAATACATGCTGGTCCCAGTACATCCTAATGCTGTATACACACCCCGACACAAACATCCACACTGCAACCCCTCATGAACCTTCAGGATATGCCAATCTCATAGTGCCTTGCCAATGCACATACAGTGGGGAAAAAAGTATTTAGTCAGCCACCAATTGTGCAAGTTTTCCCACTTAAAAAGATGAGAGAGGCCTGTAATTTTCATCATAGGGACACGTCAACTATGACAGACAAAATGAGAAAAAAAAATCCAGAAAAATCACATTGTAGGATTTTTAATGAATTTTTTTGCAAATTATGGTGGAAAATAAGTATTTGGTCAATAACAAAAGTTTCTCAATACTTTGTTATATACCCTTTGTTGGCAATGACACAGGTCAAACGTTTTCTGTAAGTCTTCACAAGGTTTTCAACACTGTTGCTGGTATTTTGGCCCATTCCTCCATGCAGATCTCCTCTAGAGCAGTGATGTTTTGGGGCTGTCACTGGGCAACACAGACTTTCAACTCCCTCCAAAGATTTTCTATGGGGTTGAGATCTGGAGACTGGCTAGGCCACTCCAGGACCTTCAAATGCTTCTTACGAAGCCACTCCTTCGTTGCCCGGGCGGGGTGTGTTTGGGATCATTGTCATGCTGAAAGACCCAGCCACGTTCATCTTCAATGCCCTTGCTGATGGAATGAGGTTTTCACTCAAAATCTCACGATACATGGCCCCATCATTCTTTCTTTACACGGATCAGTCGTCCTGGTCCCTTTGCAGAAAAACAGCCCCAAAGCATGATGTTTCCACCCCCATGCTTCACAGTAGGTATGGTGTTCTTTGGATGCAACTCAGCATTCTTTGTCCTCCAAACACGACGAGTTGAGTTTTTACCAAAAAGTTCTATTTTGCTTTCATCTGACCATATGACATTCTCCCAATCCTCTTCTGGATCATCCAAATGCACTCTAGCAAACTTCAGACGGGCCTGGACATGTACTGGCTTAAGCAAGGGGACACGTCTGGCACTGCAGGATTTGAGTCCCTGGCGGCGTAGTGTGTTACTGATGGTAGGCTTTGTTTACTTTGGTCCCAGCTCTCTGCAGGTCATTCACTAGGTCCCCCCGTGTGGTTCTGGGATTTTTGCTCACCGTTCTTGTGATCATTTTGACCCCACAGGGTGAGATCTTGCGTGGAGCCCCAGATCGAGGGAGATTATCAGTGGTTGTTGTATGTCTTCCATTTCCTAATAATTGCTCCCACAGTTGATTTCTTCAAACCAAGCTGCTTACCTATTGCAGATTCAGTCTTCCCAGCCTGGTGCAGGTCTACAATTTTGTTTTCTGGTGTCCTTTGACAGCTCTTTGGTCTTGGCCATAGTGGAGTTTGGAGTGTGACTGTTTGAGGTTGTGGACAGGTGTCTTTTATACTGATAACAAGTTCAAACAGGTGCCATTAATACAGGTAACGAGTGGAGGACAGAGGAGCCTCTTAAAGAAGAAGTTACAGGTCTGTGAGAGCCAGAAATCTTGCTTGTTTGTAGGTGACTCAAATACTTATTTTCCACCATAATTTGCAAATAAATTCATAAAAAATCCTACAATGTGATTTTTCCAGAATTTCTTTTCTCAATTTGTCTGTCATAGTTGACGTGTACCTATGATGAAAATTACAGGCCTCTCTCATCTTTTTAAGTGGGAGAACTTGCACAATTGGTGGCTGACTAAATACTTTTTTCCCCCACTGTACATGTCAAATGTATAGACTTTTTAAATTTGGTGAAAATGCATCTCACCAAAACATTTGAAAAACTTATAGGCCAGAGTGATATGAATTATAAAAACACAGGCAAGGGTCAAGTTGCTTATGGATTATACTCAAAGGGGCAGTGAGGGTGGCGGGCAAGGGTTACCCCCATGCCAAGGGGTAGGATAGAAGGGAGAAAGGGGGGGAAGGTTGTGGGTTTACATCTTTCTGTAACACCCTCTTCCCCCTCCACAGCAAATATCTGAATTGGTGCTTCCCAATTTTTCTTGAACATACTGAAAATAAAGCCAAATGAAAAAAAAAAGGCCAAAAACCCTTATTGAGACAAAGAAAGGAGAGTAAACGAGCTTTCAATGTGGGGTGTGACAGAGCGCCCTCTGGCTGTGTCGAAAACACATACTTTCTAAGCGAGCCCACAGAGAGTAATCATTTTGGCTAACCCCGGTGGGGTTTGAAAATAACCCTACAGGAGAGGCTATCGGGGTTTATATATAGGCCCAGGAGAACCAGAATGCGATACCGTTTTATCGTGGCAAGGAAAAAAAACACCCCTAATGTTGGAAACAATCACCCAGAGTCATTGATTAATTTCCAAGCTAGAGCCACAATTTTTTTCATACAGAGGTTTTTAAAACACCAAAGACTTTATTTTTCCCAGGGAAAAAATATACGAACTGGTTCGTTCAGTGCAAAAAACACAGAGTCAAGTAATACGATCCCCATTTCACGTTCCCTTTTTGCCATTCCGTGGTGTTGTGCATGTGTGCATGAGTGCATGGTTGGTGTTGAAGAGGGTCTGGAAAAGGCCGTACGCAGGTGTTAATCTGTCCCCCTGAGAGAGATATAAAGGGCCCTCCCATGGTCCTATTATCACTAACATCCCACAAAAGGTGCTTCCTTTTAAAATTTTCCGCCCTCCCGTCTATCTCTCTGTTGGTTTCTGTTGTCTGTTGTCTGTCTGTTTTTGTTTCCAGGGGGTTTTCTTCAGAGACAGCCACCTGTGCCCTGTCTCGCCCCCAATGTTTACCCGGGGGGGGGGGTTAATGTCAGCCCATATTACTGTTACCTTTAAAACAAAGGGCCGGGAAAAAATAAAAAAACAGGTGATGTCTCCTGGAAACAGCCTGAGCTACATCCTTGTCGATTCCCACTGACACCCCTGGTTAAATTTGGCAAAGCCTCCACTGTATAAAGCACTCATTGGCTGCAATGCTGTAACAGAGGTTTTTCAAAAAAAAGGGTTTTCTATCACCCAGTCGGCCATGGCGCAATCGGGAGGGGGCCATACTGTTCCCCGGATTTTATCCCGGCTCTCTGCTTCCCTTCCCCTTTCCCATCTGTATGGGGGTATGGTGGTTTGGCTAATAAGAAGAGGAAGCAGCCCTGCTTTGGCCACGCGTGGGCCCCGTCTTCGCAGCGCTTCGTTTCCTTTTCCCCCCCCCTTCTCTTTCTCTCCGTTTTATTTTTCCCTTTTCCCCACGTAGACATGTTCTCTTTTTTGTACCCCCACTCCCCCCCTTTTTTTAAAATTTTCTCTCGTCTTTCTCCTTTTCATTTTCTCACAAACTCTCCCCCACCCCCCCCTCTGCCTTTTTTTCTCTCTCTCTTTTCGCTCTCAGTCCTTTCCCTGCTTCTCTTCCCCTCTGGCCCTCCTTCCGCTACCTTTTTAATCGCTCTAAATCCTAAAAATTTTCCAAAACTCATCAGTCGTAAGCTCCGGAGACACTGAGACTGAATACAAGAAGCCCTAACAAAAAGACCTTTTACGGTTCGCCCCCTTTAAAACCCTTTAAAAATTACTTTAAAAAGGAAAAAAACAAACAAAAAAAAAAAAGAATGGTTTAATTCAAAAAAAGGTCATAAAAGCCGTAAAAAATCAAGGGGGGGGCTACCTGATAGGATATCACTTTGTATATGAAAAAATATTTTTACCTCTTTTACATCATATTTCCTTCCATCAAAAAAGACTTACTGGGGCCCAAAAGAGCAGAGAATTAATTTCAAACAAGTAGCTAAATGAAAAACCACACCGTTTTGACAATTAAAGTAAAAAATTTCAAATACGATAGAAAACCCCTTACTGAGGGGGGGGCCAAAGGAATCTGGGGGAGATTTAAAAAAGGGTTTGTAAGGAGTTGTCAAAACTGGTAATCACAAACCCCTATGTGGGGAGTTAACACCAAAATTGATACCAAAAATAATTTCATTACCCATGCCCTGGTTGGTATAGAAACACCAACAGAGGACGTTTTTAAAAAAAAACTCCAGCTAAGAGCCACATGGATGTTTAAATTTTGGCCCTCTTTTTAACGCAGGTGGGAGTTTAAAGACAGCCACTAAAACAGAGTTTCTTCCCCCCCAAAGGGTTGGTGATTCAAAATTTTCATCCTTTTGCGCCAAAACATGCCATCTGAAATGCAGAACCTGTCGACAATGGGAATCAATTAACTAGCCCCTTTTCATATTCGTTTTTACATTACTTATTACTGAAAAATGTCATGAAAAATGACAATGCCTTTCCAAAGCTTTTGGGCATGTTTGATTCCCCACTCGTAAATAATGGGACACAATTCAAGGCCTATTCTTTGTATAGAGTCTGTCCCCCCGGGACGAAGAGGGGATAAAATAAAGGGAAATCGTAAATTTTGCCCCTTATTGATTTCAAAAGGGTGTCTATCGCTTCTAACCCCATGAACGAAATCCATCATGACCCGACAAGACATGTTATCACAAGACACTCAGGGGATAAGCATGGAGAATGTGGGAAACCCAGGTCTCTCTGAGCAGCTTGGCTCAAAGACGGTTGCTGTGACACAACTTATCAGGGATTTTCCCCCAGACAAGTTAGCTTAACGTATTAGAGGGTCTGAATAGGGGCCAGAAGGTCATGTTAGCAGGGGTTATGGGCACAGAGGGACTATTTAGCTTCATAGAGTCCGACCCATGGTAAGTTATTAGAGAGATTTGATCTTACTCAGTGTAAGGGTTGGTGTGAGGTGTGAC